TACCGTAATCAGAGGACCTAGATACTCTCTCGTGACGTCATTTGTCACCTCATTAAAGAAGTACTTGACTCCATCGATGATCAAATAGTCTGTTTTGAGGAAGGCAGTTTTACCATCCTCTCTGGCCTGTTTGAGATGGGGTCCTAACTTCTTTCTTCTTTCTCTAACTTTCATCGAGAAGTCCTCAGAGATCCGATATTCATTGTTACCTTTAAGGTGTTTCTTCGCCTGCATGAATACAATTCTTGTCGTCTCGAGATACAAACTTAGCGATGATAGGTGCAGGTGTACTGGTTCCACGCCTAGCCCCAAGTCTATGTACTGTGTCGAACTGTATCTCATCTGCATCATCTATTTCCAGGTCCTCCACCATAAACGTCTGAAGTATCGCTTTAGTATCGTTGTTACTTTCTTTATCTTTCATTTTCAGACCAAATATCAGTAGATTGTTACGCCTGGAGTAAGCTTCATTTTTGTCAATTTTGTTCTCCAAGGATGATATAATTGTTGACTGCCTTTTTATGGTCATCTTCAAATCACTGTTCTCTGCTTGGATCTTTTCGAGTTGATTATTGACGTGTATGGTGTTTTGGTCTACAACCGTTTTCAAGGCAGAGAGTGTTTCGCTCATAACACGAATAGTGGAGTTCAAAGTATTTATTTGTTGTGAAAGGGCATCAATAGAGTCCTTCACACTTACATCACTGTCGTCCTGTTCCTGAGGTCCTGTCACTGTCCGGGTTTTCTTTGGGGGTCCAGGATTCAATTCGACGTCACCTGCCATGATCAATTTCAAGACTGGGTCAAACCAGACTATCTTGCCAGGGTTGCACACTTCGCACGAGCTGGTGTTAAAATTGCTTGTATGTGGAAGTTCATAGAATATATTCAGCATATTGTTCGATTCCGAAAACAAACTGCATATTGACTCACTTGACAGCACGATGATAGTGAGTGTAGTGATGACAGCAAACAGTTGGTACTGGAGATCCATGGCGGGCGTCCATGTTGTTTGTCCACTGTAGTTGTCAACATGGGCTATCTGTCTCAGTCCTCTAGGCATTCGGAAACCTCCAATACGACATCTCCAGACTGAAATATCTATGCCCATTGCTTGTCACAGTGTCTTTCTGTTATTTTAAGCCCTTAAAACGTACGCAAATGTCTCAAATACGCATAATTCTCGCCTGAGTGTAAGTTGGCATGCTTTCACGATCAGGGACGGTAACTCTTTATAACCAGCAATGTATATTATATGTCATGAATAAGTGATAATTGTGTTTTAATTATGTTTGATTTTTTGGTTGCATGTGACCTTTAAAATAGTGTCATTACCATGCAGTGCATACCTACAATAGTTTCACTACCTTACAAAACATACTTAAAATAGTGTCATTACCATGCAGTGCATACCTACAATAGTTTCACTACCTTACAAAACATACTTAAAGGTCACATGCAACGTAAAACACAACTTTGCAGATTCTGATACCTTTCGGTATGGACTTACCGAAACAAATCATCAAAAATGCAAATTCAACTTATAAAGTTGAAAAATAAACGATTCACTAATTTTCCCCAAACGCTTGGGGGGAAAAGTGGTTTCAACAGCTGGGCTGGGCTGCGCTCATAGCACATGCACAGTGAAATAGGTTCGCGCTGCGGGTTGTCCAGGTTGTCCGGGTTGTCCCGTGAATATTCGGTGAAGGCTTTGGTGTGAGCTATTTTTCTAATGTTTTGTTGATATTTCACAGGCGCGAGCTTTTTATATGTTATGACAGCAGATTACCGATTTAACTGTTTATGTAACTTCATTTGTCTATTTCACCACACGTTCTTCTTACCGAGTCACTTTCTCAGTTCGATACTTAAAAGCGATGTCATTATTTAGCGTTGACAGAATTTCTAACTGTGATATAGATATGTCGTTGTGATAGACAAAACTCAATGTCTGTCTTATTGACACCTATGTGTCTGCCTGCCCGTCTGCTAATGACAATATTCAATACACAAGTTCAATCACTGACCACATGCAATTTGAACTTAACACCTATCAGGCTATACACCATAAACAAAACGCATTGATTTATGGCCTGAGTTCGGTCTCTGTCACATTATGTAATTACACAGACAGGCAGGTGTGATACTTGTACACATGCCATGTTATGATGTCTGTTGATTGCAAAATGTTATTTAAGAAATACAGTTCGCTCTACCACCATGTATAGTGTAATAAAACACACTTTTGCCCTGAACTATTATAGTTAAAGCACGAGGACGCTTGCGTCCGAAAGTGCTTTAACGTCATAATAGTTCAGGGCTTAAAGTGTGTTTTATTACACTATACATGGTGGTAGAGCCAACTGTATTTCTTTCTAAGATGCCAAATTTAATACTTTCTAAGGATAATTACAATTAATTTAAGGCAGAAAACAAACGACAGTGTCGGTGACCTAAATTAAGAATCCTCGCACAGGGCTAGCTGGCGCCGCTGTTCTATTGATGTGTCTGTCCCCTACGTTAAGACCTAACGTTACCAGAAAAACAAATGATAAACAGTTTGATGACGGTTTACGTTCGGATTAAATATCTTCTCTAAATTATTTTAATTACATCTGTGATTAACGTAAACCATGTGAACGTCGCATTTCTACTACCAACGTATGTTTAGATCAGTACATCCAGACGAAGCTGAGTAGTCAAGCGACATTCCACGATTGCATTGTGGGAATGTAAACATTGCAAACGTTACCGTGTCGCTGAAAACTTGTGAGTCGAATTGAGACATTTAAAACGTCAGAAAACATAACCGTATTGTTTCCACCAGTGATGTTAGGTGAGTGAAGCAACTGCAAACCAAGAAACGGGATGCAACGCAGTAGTTTACTGTAGGAGGCTGTACGAGGCAATGACAACTGACATGCATCGTGACGTCGCTTACATTGTGACGTAATGTAAAATGGTTCGATTACGAGGGGCACACTAGAATGGTGCAGTGACGGGATAACGTCATTCAATTGTTACGTCATCAAAAAACTATAACTTTATTGTCTGATAATGTATGTTTTTTTCAATTGTTCTAACCGCTGGGCATCTTAGAAACACCAATAATGAGCATGTATTTACAAAACCCAACATCTCTATATATATACACACACAATGAGGCGTGAGAGCGTCTGCAAATAAACCAGCCGTTACACTTGAGTGCACACCCACCCGCTCTGACTGGGTTCGGTATCCCGGCTGCTTCGTTTCTTGGGAAGTAAACCCAAGTACAAAATATTGCACTTATGATTTGCGATTGTACGCTTATAATTTAGTTTTTATGTTTTTTCATAACCAGCAATGTATATTATATGTCATGAATAAGTGATAATTGTGTTCTAATTATGTTTGATTTTTTGGTTGCATGTGACCTTTAAAATAGTGTCATTACCATGCAGTGCATACCTACAATAGTTTCACTACCTTACAAAACATACTTAAAATAGTGTCATTACCATGCAGTGCATACCTACAATGGTATCACTACCTTGCAGTGCATACCTACAATGGTGTCACTATCTTGCAATGCATACCTAAAATGATGTCACTACCTTGCAGTGCATACTTACAATGGTGTCCCTCCCTTGCAATGCATACCTACAATGGTGTCACTATCTTGCAATGCGTACCTACAATGGTGTCACTACCTTGCAGTGCATACCTACAATGGTGTCCCTCCCTTGCAATGCATACCTACAATGGTGTCACTACCTTGCAGTACACACCTACAATGGTGTCACTACCTTGCAATGCATACCTACAAAGGTATCACTACCTTTCAGTGAATACCTACAATGGTATCACTACCTTGCAGTGCATACCTACAATGGTGTTACTACCTTGCAGTGCATACTTACAGTGGTGTCACTATCTTGCAATGCATACCTACAATGGTGTCCCTACCTTGCACTGCATACCTACAATGGTGTCACTACCTTGCAGTGCATACCTACAATGGTGTCAATACCTTGCAGTGCATACCTACAATGGTATCACTACCTTGAAGTGAATACCTACAATGGTGTTACTACCTTGCAGTGCATACCTACAATGGTGTCACTACCTTGCAGTGCATACCTACAGTGGTGTCACTACCTTGCAGTGCATACTTACACCGTGTAACTATGTTACAAAACATACTTACAGTAGTGAGGTGAGGTGAAATTGGGTTTTACGTCGTGCTTGAGAATATTTCGCTCAAATGACGACGTGCATGCGTGTGTATGTGTATGTGTGCCTGCTTGTACTAGCCCAGACTTAAGCTGGTTTTATAGTGCTAGCCCACTAGATACCATGCCGCAGTGAAGCATGAATACCCCACTCAGACACATTATACTGACTCCGAGCCGACCAGTCCTTGTACCCATTAATGCCGAGCGCCAGGCAGGGACCAACAAGTACCATATTTTAACGTCTTTTGGTATGATGCGGTCGGGGATCGAACCCGCGACCTTCCGCTCTCCGGGCGGACGCTCTAACCACTACACCACGGAGGCGGTCACTTACAGTAGTGTCACTACCTTACAAAACATTCTTACAATAGTGTCTTACCTTTCAAAACATACTTACACACTTACCAGTATTTAATCTGACCACCTTACCAAAGCTATCCCTGACCTCCCTATTGTTATATCACTCAACACCTCAGCCATCAGTCATTCCTGTCTCTGACACATTACTGTTGTGTGACAGTATCTAACAACAATGCTGAAAGCTTAATGTATAACTTTAAACAAATGACAATATCTTTATTTAATTAATATAATCAAAATTTACTGTGATCTTGACAATACACAGCAACTTAATGGCTAGAAGAGCCCAATATGTGATTCATTTGCAATTAATGGGTGAGACTTGAGGTTGAAGTAATGTAGAAAGAAAGAGCACATAAACTGTTTAAACATACTTTTACTATACTGGTATGTTCTGCTCTTATTATGTTATGACTTTTACAGGTATGGAATTGGTGGATGGCTCAATTAAAGTAAATGAAGATGTGGGCGGCAGGCAAAAAAGCAGGCTATAGCATTACACAGCGTGGAGTTACTGCTCATTTTCTGCATGCCAAAGGATTTGACTGGTTACTGGAAGAAGAAGATTTGGATGAAGAAGATCAGAAACCATTACTGTGAGTGATTGTGGTTGCAACGTCACCTGAGCAATTGTTTAAGTGTTGAAATTTGCCTGTTCTGGTCAAGGTATTGATAATAACTCATGCAGGAAAAAATAGTATTATGATCTTAGTATGTTATATGAAGCAATGACATCGATTTACAGCTATCTTGAATGAAAATCAACCAAGAGATCTTATGTTGTGGCCTTTTTGTCTGTTATCCATTGAAAGATCGTGATGAACAAAGCTGAAACTTTGTATACTTTTTCCATCAATGATGAAAATCTTTTTTAAGAGGCTTAAATCAGAGTCTTTTAGAAAATTGTTGCGTCAAATAGATGTAGAAGGCTAAGAGGAGTCATACAGCTAAGCTGAGAAGATGGTAGAAATCAAATCATCCCTGGCTACTTTTTCTTCTCCAGCTGATCAGCAGAGTTTGGGAATGCCACTGACTTTTCATGTTGCCGTATCTTCACTTATCTTCCCATGCCCTAGATACCCTCATACAGTTACCGTCAGATCTGATTCAGAATCTTCATTGGTGAAATCACAGAGATCAAGGTTTAATATCAAAGGAAGATGCCAGAGAAGATCCTCCACATCAACTGGTTGGAGACGAAAGTGATATATTATGCTCTCATGAAGTGGAGGCATGTATTTTAACACTTCTCAGTCGTCACTCCAACAGACCACGGTGATGGTCCATCCTTAATATTTGTTCCTCTTTTATGACAATCAAGGGAAGAAGTTTATCAAGTGGAGACGACAACACTACCTGGTAGATATAGTCCAGTAAACTATTCCCAAAGTTGCAAGCTGTATATGTCAAGATAAGAAGCTAAACCACACTACCATTGAAGGTTATGAATCAACATTGCATTCCGCTCTTCATCTAAATGGATTATCTGTCAAAGATCATCCTTCCATCAACTTATGAGAACTTATGTCTAAATTGAATCTCTCGGTGGTTCTCTGATTATTTTTAACATAACCTTCTGAATCACTTGCCAAAGCCACATTAAGTTAAGCAAGTTCCAGGGAAGACAGATTTCATACATGATATGGCCACAACTAGTGTCTGAAAATCATTAGAGCACCATTAACAGAGAGATTGCTTCCAGAATTTATTCCCCAAAATCACTTCACTTTTCTTTAAAAATTAGGGTATAGACACCCTATGCTCTAGAATTTTGTCTCAAGGTTTGTCTGTCGGTCCATCCAACTGGCAGTCATCTGGGGGGTGTTTTCAGAGCAGAACTCGTAAACCATTGAATATTTCTTGTGAAAGTTGCTATTCAGGTCAGCTTATTGGTGACATGGTGCTGTTTGATGATTTGGGATTGACCATAATGCTTGTTAGACAAACTCCAAAACCATTGAATGTGTTTGGATGAAACTTGGTCTACAAATCAGTCTAGTGGTAAAATGGTGGATAACGATGATGTTGGGTATTAATTTTATATTTTCACAGAACAGAAGGTATCCAAAGGAAATGAACCAAGAATGGGTTGTAAGTAACCAAACTCCATCTGTGAATCATACCAGACATGATGAGTGATTTCCTGATGACATTTTGGCATGTTGGGTTCAATCCCCGTTGATCTGTCTGTGGCTGCCATACATGCGGGGCATATAACAATCCCCAGACACTGAGTCCAAACCCATTGTGTGGCATGTTGGGTTCAATCCCTCTTAATCAGTTCAGGACTGCCTTTCTTACAGGGTATTTAACCTACACCGGACACTGGTAGTCTTTGAGCCAGGCCTTGAAAATATGGAGTTGACTACAAAACTGAGGGGCACACAGCCACTATGATTTTCATATAGCTTAAGGTATGTAGTTTATGGAATCATGTGATGGACACCTCCCATGCCCAGCTAAATGTGTTTTTGGCGGCCATTTGTAAAGATGGACGCCATTATCTTGAACTTGTCCATCTGTCTGCAAAAACTATGCTACAGCTAAAACTATAAGCATTAGACATATAAATGTGGAGTGAAATATGCTTTGTATTCAATTTCCCACATTTTGATATGGAATTTGTAGTGGTTCAGCATGATTATATTTTTAAATTTTTAAACTTATCCTATCTCACGATTTGCACTCTTCTCTCTTGATTCGACGCTGAGTGGAACGAATGCGAACTTTCCCTTTAGGCCTCTCTTGTCCATATGCCCGTGTTCCCCAGGCTACTCTCCTTATAGGACAGGTCCCTAGTCCCATGCTGAGCATGCAGCACGCTTCCCCTATATATCTACCCTCGTGACTACCTCAGAGTGATCATTCTTCTTCTTGTCGCACCACTGTGTGGACGTATGGTGAGAGTTCTCAGTTTTCCTTACAAGTTAACGTGAGAAATATATCATGGATAGTTGACCCTAAGTAGTGTATTTTTGCGCACAGCGTAAGCAACAATTTCTTCCTCGGATCCCCACTCGTCATATGTGGATTGTATTGGCCTGTGTTCCTGGAGCAAGCACTGTCGGGAATGTGCTCCCTTATCTAAGACGGTTTTAGAGCATATAGACGTGCTTGCTCCCGTTGGCTGGCAGACAGAGCTCGTTATACTTCAACAGGGCATGGTCAATCACCCGACAAAACCCCTGCATTCAACGACCCGTATTAACTGCTCGTCGTTTGAAGATTACTCTGTCGGAAGGTGATGATTTTTTTGGCACATCATCAGATGTCTACAGTACTCGTTAAGTACAGTTTCTTGTACTTTTGTTGGGTTGAGTCCCATGCGGGATTCGAATCCACACCTATATGGCATTGTGTAATGAGATGTCTACTCGTCGTTCCACCTCATCGAACCGCTCTGTGTTGCCAGCTGACTCACACAGCTGATCTACAGCGTCAAATCGCTGAATGGATTTACCAGGCTGAACCATTTCGCCTTGGCATATTGGGTCACAGGAGCGACTCAATTTGCCATATATGACTGTTTCTTATTGCCGAAATGGCTCACATCATCGAATCGATTCACCACACCGAAACCGTTCGCCTCGCCGTAACAGCTCTCCTCACAGAAACGATTCACCTTTTTGAACATTTCACATCGTTCTAGGTCTCTCCATCGGCTGAGATCATTGAAACGTTCCGATTCTCGAACCGATCCAAACCACAGCGCTGATCCAGATCACATCAACATTCCGGCTCACCATTCTGAACCAGATCACTGAGCTGAACTGATTTGTAAACCAGCCTGAATCGCTTCACCATGCCGTACCTTTTCACCAGGCCGAACCGCATCATATCGCTGAACCGGTTCATCTGGCCGTTCAAGATCACGAAACCGTCAGCATTCATCGAACTGGCAGCATTCGTCAATAATCTGTTGTTCGGGCCTTGCCTACCAATTCCATTGATCACTGAATTCAGCGAATCACCACTGTTGTCTCGTGCTATTGCCAACATGGCGCATCTTTCCAGCTTACTGGTTCGTCAGAGCCTACCCTATTTGTGTCTAGGATGCCTCCCAAGACACTTAACCCACATCAAACCTCGTCTTTGTTTTTCATGGTTCGGGCTATGCCAGTCGCCTTTAAGATGCAGGAATTGTTTTGGTTGATTCGACACACATGGTCACTTGGTTTCCCGACCACCTACAGCTACCTAGAGCAAGATACCAGATATTCTAGTTATTACTTTCAACATGAAGGATCGGGACTTGTCAACACTGGGTTTTTACATCATGAGAATCGTGAACTTGCATCTAGAATTTGCCAAATTTGTCGAACTATACTAGTTTTCAACATGATCCTAGTTTTCAGGGCATTTGTGAAGCTCTGAATTCCTCACCACAGAGTGGCAAGCTCTAAGCACGATAGTCTGTTTAGTTTATCCGGATTACCAATACCCGCGCCTTGAGCATGTAGTAGTTGCGTGGATATGTGAGCTATATAAATATCCTATAATAATTACCTCACAGCTTGTGAAGCGCTTAAGTTTTTAGTCACATAACTGTCTGGTACCCTTTTTTCTGCTGGTTGAACAGAGGTACAGTAGTAGCAATGTGATTCACCATGCCGAATCGATTCAGATTTTATGTCAGTAAGTCAAACATGTAGACATTTTACACTGGGCACTTGATGTTCTGACGATCCCAGATCTCAAGACTCCTCCGTGACCGGGTCTCATCTCATTCCAGATTTAATCTACCATCCGATCTTCACCTTTGATGAATGATTCGGTTCAATGAATCTACCTTTTGGTGTAGATATCAGCTCTACAACCACCCATTTGGGCATTATTAGATAAGCTTGCTATCCAAGAAGTTTTTTGCGACGCTTCACTGATTCAAGTTACTACAGACTACTCGGAACAGCGTTTTGGTGTATAGCTGGGTGCAATCTTTGCTTAGTTCGTCATCTTCAGCACCCTTCCTTTTACATCATCAGCAAGTTTCTGGACAGATGGGTCAAGTTTCTACACATGGTAGCAGTGATGTCTCGTCAAGTAGACATGGATTTTATGGGATGTGACTCACCCGGGTTAACCGAAGACCGTGTTGTCCTGATTTTTGACACTGTTGCATCGTGGGTAACGTTTGCAAAAGGCGGACTACTGTTTGTTTACCGGAACTTTTTATGATAAGAGTGACTTTGAAGTGCCCTGGCAGACTTGTCTTGGTCCCATGAGTCAGATATCAAATCCAGCCTTCAATTGCTAGTAACAATGAACGGTGCCATTCCCGGTAAGATTGTGTCGGGATTTCGTCAGCCAGCCGAGAGAGACTGCTTATCGAGCTTGACAGAAACACCTGAGAACGGTTTGACTTTGGCTGGGGTAACTCGGTGTTTCTACCTTAGCTCAAGCACTGAGTTATGGTTAGAGGTATGTCAACGCGTGGATATGTGTAGACTGGGGAATTAGCTCGGAATTAAGATGAAGTCTACGTACAATACGTTGACAAGAATAAGGAATATGTTTAGCTCAAACTTCTTTTGTTACATGACAAACAAATATACAAGGCATAAATGAAGGGAGCGGAGTACCTGCTCAACCCCAGGGC